TATTTTATATAATTGTAAAACCATGACCACATCTGAGAAAAATTTCAATATTCCTTTATCTAAAAAAAGACATTAATTCTTTAATGGCTTATCTCTCTATATATGTATATCTTTATACATATATATCATGGTAGCAAGCAATAGAAATGCAGTTTTTCACATTCTGCTTGTCCCTTTATACTCCTGGGATATATTTGCTTGCTGCTTCTTCGCAGTAAGTTCCCAATCTGCTGTTTTGTTCCCTGCAGAGAAATCTCTAGGCTCCTCCAGGGAAGCCTTAGAATGTAGGGGGAAATTTGGGGGTAAGGGGGTGAAGAAGAGGGTATTTGGGATGGAAAATGGGCTCATCCCTCCAAATTCTTCACCTTTTGAAGAGCAGGGATGGAATGACAGTGCAAAAGGATGGGGGATTGGGGAACTTTTTGTCTATTCTAGGTACTGGTCCAGAAGTTGTCCTTCAAGAGATCTCTTGATCATCAAACACTCTAGAATTATGCTGTTCAATAAGTAGCCACCATCCACTCGTGGCTATCAAAATTAAATACAGCTGAAACCGGTTTGGCTCAGTGGTAGAGCATCAGTCTGCAGACTGAAAGGTCCCAGGTTCGATTCCAGTCAGGGGCATGTACGTTGGTTGCGAGCACATCCCCAGTAGGGGGTGTGCAAGAGGCAGCTGGTCGATGTTTCTCTCTCATCGACATTTCTAGCTCTCTATCTCTCTCCCTTCCTCTCTGTAAAGAAATCAATAAAATATATTTTTTAAAAACCCACAAAATTAAATACAGCGAGTAATTCAGCTCCTCACTCATACCAGCCACCTATCAAATGCCCAATAGTCACATGTGGCCTGAGGCTACTGTATTGGACATTAGCATGAAATTCCAAGGGTAACAGAGCCTGCCCCTGCCCTGCCTTCAATACGCACAAGCTGCAGGCCTGCTGGACAGACCGCCCAGGGAGATGGGTGAGCCATTCACTTCAGCGACGGGACTGACACCAGCAATGGGAGAAGAAACCCAGGGGCGAGCACATTCTAGTGGAGAATGGAGAGCCACTTGTGGGAAACAGGGCATGAGAGAGAAAGCATCTGTGTATGTGTCCCCGTGCACACACATGCCCGCCCATATGAGTGTGGATGTGTATTTATGGAATGCTGAGAGGTTCTGCATTAAATGACCTCCAGGGTCCTATCTCTGAAGAATGTGTCCACTCCATATCTGTGGCCTGTTCTTCATGTTCTCTAGGAAAGGAGGTGTCCTCGCTTCTGGTGTTCTCAAGCTTCATTTATTGGATAAAATTTTAACAAAATTCTTTTTTTATCTCTTGAGGCGGAACTTTCTTACAAAGAAACCCTGAGGTCATTTTCCTCAATCCAAACCGCAGTATCTCTCATGTTCCAGTTTCAGCAGCCCTTCGAAATGGACTAAAAAATCAAGCCCTCATTATGGTACAGTGCAGTTTTCCCCAAAGCGGGGTCAGTCATCATTGTTGGTATGTGAAAACATTTTAGGAGGTGTGTGAATGCTGCTTTAAATAATATTGAGTCAGGGAGGGAAAGGGGGACATATGTAAGACTTTCAACAATAAGCATTTAAAAAATAATATTGCGTCAGAAATAAAAATATGGCTCCCTTTCTATTCTGATTACATCAAAGAGAAGGTCTTGATTTTGGTCCTAGTTTTTAGCGCCTCTGTAACAGTTGCTAATCCTTTATTTATTTATTTATTTATTTATTTATTTATTTATTTTTAACAGAGGGACAGGGAATCTCAGGCTCTGATCCTTGGGCAGGGAAGAGGGAAATCTAACTAGGGCTGATAACACCACTTTATTTTCATTGTATTTACTTTTAGGACCATTTTCTATTTATGGCAAGTGATTCTGGGCTTCCATTTTATGATAGTGATTAAAATAATACATACTTGAGTCTATGTCAATAAAAACATGAATAGGGCAGATGGCAAATAGATAAACATCAAAGTTATGAAGACAGTGCAAGAATGACAGTCACCTTGGAAGCTCTGTTTTGATGGAAAGATTAGTGGCCATTAAAGTCCACTCTAATTGAAGAATTGAGCCAGAGGACCTTGGGCAAATTACTCCAGCTTCCTGAAAGAGGTGGGCAGTGATGGGGAAAGTACCTGTTGTGCTCAACTGACTGGATCGAAGGACCAAGATAGGATGATTGATTAACTTCAGGGGTGATGGGGTGGTGGTGAGAGGATGGGCTATATAGGCATAAGCTATTATCACCATGACCCTGTGCCCATAGGATTAATGAGCTTCCATTCTTTCTAAACCAACAGACATTTAGTCATATCTGGATTCTGAGTCCTTCAGGGCAAGGCTGACTCCTTATGGTATCCCTGGGGAAAGCCTGGTGTTTCTGGTGGGGATGGGGAGGATCAATGGAAGATCCATTGATCTTCTAGGTCTCATCTGGTCTCTTCTCTTGCTGGGACTTGGAGTGATGTAGGGCTTTAGTATCAACCTACCCCCCTCCTCTAGACCCCTACTATGTACTGAGTAATATTCACACCAGGGTTTTGGGGGTGGCCTTTTGTGATGTATTGTTGCTATAAACAGATGTTTTGCTAAACTGGGTAGGAAAAGTTGTGTAACAGATATTCTTCTCGTGGATCTTGACTCTGGGGTTCTTGTTTTGTTTAGTGTAGTAGTTTCTCCTGGAGGAATTGCATTTCTGTAGGTGGCATCCCATTGACCTGGGAAACGAAGAGGAAATAGAAACCATCATTCAGTCATTTGCTGATCTCTGTCTTTTAGGGAAAAACCTATAAGATCCTATGGGAAGAGAGCGGGTAAAGTGATTTGTCCCATTCTTGATGAGGGATCACATGAACATGTAAAGTTAATTTATAGAAAAAGGCAGTAGAAATTATTTTTTAATCAAATGAATGGTGCAGAAATGCCATCAGAGTTCTTAGGGAGACTGCAGACAATCTTAATAAACAGCCTGGCACCTAGGACACAAATTTACTAAGTGAGAGTGTCCTAGGTGCCAGGCTGTTTATTAAGCATTATACAATCATTATCTCATGTAACACAACAATCGCATGAGATAAATACTATATCCCCATTGCACTCTTGAGAAGCAGACTTTATGACATTTATTTGTCCAAGTTCAAACTGGTTTAATGGATGAAAATCTAATTACAATCCAGTTCTGTGTCCAGAAGGGAGCTCTTAACCGCTACAATATACTGTCTCCTAGATTGTCAAGCCTGGAAGGAGCCTGAGAAATTTAATTCAAGAAATTTAGTTCATGAAATAGGTCAGAAAACAAGTCCAGTGGAATCTCACTTTATTTTTTTACAGTCTGGTCATAGTAAAAGTTTTGTGGGAAAAACTGGTAAAAAATGGAGGGAAGAAGAGAACACATATTGGGGGAGGGGAGGGTCCTATACCTAGATTCATATTGTCATTTAACCTTCACACCACCCTATCAATTAGATATTATTCCCATTTTACAGATAAGGAAACCAAGGCCTAGCGTTAAAGCAATTTCCCCAAAGACCAAGCCTTATTAACTCTTAGTTTCAGATCTATTTCTTACCAAAGTATGTTACTATAACACTACCACTTTCCAAGGCAGACAAGAGAGGTGGCTTGTGAAGGGATAGGTCTAAGAGCAGTGAGGTGTGAGCAGGGAATGATGGCCTGGTGGCAGGATTTTAGGGAAGGAAACTAGGTGTGGAGAACAGAGTAGGTGGGGATGGATCTGGCGAGTGCTACGGAGGAGCCCTTGTTACAGTGCAGGTTTTTGAAATGTTAATATCCTCCTTCCTTTGAGATGTGTGAATCTATTTAACCCCCACGAGATAACTCTACGAGGCAGGCAGATTGGATATCACCTCCATTGAAAATGGAGACAAGGAAACTGAGGCTCAAAGATGTGGTTTGCCAAATGATACAATTCAGTGACTCAGCCAGTATACAACCCAAATCTTCTGACCCCCATTCCAGGGCTCATTGCAACATGTCCCAGCCCCCTTGAAAGCATCTCTGACTTGGAATAAGCTGGCAGGAGGGCTGCTTATTTGGCCTGGTAGTAGTAGCAATTAAGGAGGAACAAGTAGCCCTGACCAGTATGGCTCAGTTGGTTGGAGCATCTTCCTATATGCCAAAGGTTATGGGTTCAATTCCTGGTCAGGACACATACAGAAGGCAACAGATTGATTCTCTCCCCCAACCCCTCACCCACTGCCTTTTCTCCCCTCTCTAAAATCAATAAGCATATTCACAAATGAGATTTTTTTTTTTTTTTTGAAGGAGCAAGCACTAAAGAGGCCTTGTTAAGGAAGAAGCCAATAATTTCCAGGGGGGTTGGTTAAGGGAACAAAAGAAAAGGGAGGAAGGAGAGATGGAGCTGAGGTGTTGAGCCTGAACCATCTGGGAGAATGGCAATGCCCTAGATGACCATGGGGAGGGGAGGATGAGGAGGCTGATTTTGAAAGGATGGCAGGATGAAGTCAAGTCAACTGTCAATCAGGAAGTTGGAGATGAGGTTAGAGTTCAGGAGAAGGGTCAAGGCTGCAAATAAATATCTGGGAGCCATCAGTGCCCCAGAGATCCAGGAGTAAGGAGAGAAAGTGCACTGAGTAGAAAGCATATCTTCAGTCATTCTTCTTGAAAAAATGAGAAAACTCTGCATCTTAATAAAGATAAACAGATACACAGGTATGCCTCACCCTGTGCCCTGCATGCTTGATTGCAAGTGCTGTTATGTGTGGCATAATAGTGAGAAACCTAGACCTGGTTTCTTCTCTCTCCAGGATGTCCAGGACTGGGATCCCTGAGAGGAGAGGCGTGGGGTGGGCACACATGTGTGGAGCTGATATAGTTGTAGGACAGAAATCAGCCCATGGTACACTTTGGTCTTACTCTCACCTGCCACCCCTCCCCCTCCCTTCTCCTCCTGTCACACTCCCCCACCCCCTTCCTGCTCCCCTACACCAGGTTCTTACCCACTGTCCCTTACCTAAAATTCCCAAATACACTCTTTGGTAATGTCCTCGCTGTCTGCCAGCAGGGTGCCGCTTCGGTCGGATCTCATGTAGAAGCCATTGGGTGCCAGCACTGTGAGCAAGTTGCTCCCTTGAAGCTCGATACAGAAGTTGAGGGCAAACTTTCCCCAAGGCCGAAAGGTGCCAAAGGATGTGATTGACCAGAAAGATCCACCCTGTGCTGGGGAGGGGAGAGCACAGGTCAGCGGGCCATTCGGATCGGGAGCCCTCCAGCAGTGCAGCCTCCGAGGGGGCTCCGGGACAGATGCCACCCTCCCTGGCTCCCCTGCGGAGCCCGTGCTGGCAGACCCCTCCATGGAAGTGAGGGAGGGCTGGCTTCTGTTCTGCCAGCCCATCCGGAGGCCCAGAAAGGTGAAAACTAAAAGACTCTCTGGTTTTCCCTTTGTGGTGAACAGATCCCAGTGGCAGACCCTGATGGCTGAGTTGGGGCGAAGGCAGGGCTAGACTGGGAGCTGAGGGTAAGGGTGAGGAGATACTCACCCTGAAAATGGTAGATGCCCTGGCGGCAAGGCAGCAGGTGAATGCAGTTGGGCTGGTCCATGTTGCACTGCATGAGGTCATGTCCTGAGGAGATGCCCACATACCCATACCGGCCTCGCAAGGCAAGGAAGGGGCGGTTGGCTAATCGAATCCCAAATTCCTCATTTGGGCCTGAAAGAAATCAGGACAGCATTATTTGGGTGGGCTGCCTCTAGATGGAAGCAGGAATTGGGGGGGGGGCACTAATTGCAGAAGGCTAATGTCATATTTTAACATGTAGTGAACACCTACTGTGTGCTAGGTACTAGTGTGAAATGTTTGTGAAAACACTTAGACATTTTTATAGTCTTCCTTCCTTTGAGATGCGTGATTCTCTCTAACCCTCATGAAAACCCTGCGAGGCAGGCAGATTGGATATCACCTCCGTTGAAAATGACTCAAAGAAGTGGTTTGCCCAAATGATGGCAAAAATTCAGAGACTCAGCAAGGATACAGACCCAAATCTTCTGATCCCCTATTCCAGGGCTCATTCCAATGCGTCCTACCTCCCTGGAAAGCATTTCCGAGTTGGAATAAGTGGGCAGGAGGGCTGCTGAGCTCACCTGGAATGCTGGCATGGGCTATGAGCAGGCTGTTGGGTGCGATGCCCAAGAAGCACCCATTGGGAGACTGCAGGATGATCCTGCCGAACTTCCAGTGCATGCGGAAGAAGGTGTCACACTCCAGAGGGTGCCCATTCGCCAGCACTGCCCTATGGCGCCTCTGGAGATTATAACGAGAACAGAGAAGGAACGCAAGGGATGAAACTAGCTTTCTTCCCATCATTTTTATTCCTAACCCTTCTTTCCTACATCCCGCCCACTAGCCTTTTTCATTCCCCCAGGGTTGGCTTTAGACTTGCATAATGTTTTTGGAAAACATGTTGTGACTTCGGCCCTCTCACTTGCCCGGTCTGTGCTGTATCCCAGAGCCCCAGTCTCAAAAAGGGACCTGGATATCCATATGGAGAGAAATAAAGCTTGGCCCAGTCTCCAAAATAATTTCAAAATGGATCAGAGATGTAAAAGTGAAACCTAAATTATAAAACATCTAAAAGAGAACAACAAAGGAGAAATTCTTTGCAATTTTGGGGTAGGCAATAATTTCTTGGAACTAAAAAAAAAAAAAAAAAAAAGCACTAATCATTTCTAAAATGTAGAAATTGAACTTCATTAAATTTAAGACTTATTACTCAAAAGACACTGATAAGCAAGTGGAAAAGCAAGCCACAGATTGGGAGAAAACATTTACATATATTTGGCAAAGGACTTGACTTTAGATAAGAGAACCCTTATAATTCAATTATAAGACAATCCAATAACAAACGGGCAAAAAATTTGAACAGAGAAAATATACAAATACTCAATAATTACATGCAAAGATGCTCATGCATTATCAATTATAAGGGAAATGCAAATTAAAGCCATAATAAGATGTCATTACACACCCATTATGTTGGTTAAAATTAAAAAAACAATACCAAGTGTTGAGAAGGATATGGAACAAATCTAATTAGAATTGTCCCAGCCGAAATTGGTTTGTCTCAGCGGTAGAGCATCGGTCTGTGGACTGAAAGGTCCCAGGTTCGATTCCTGTCAAGGGCATGTACATTGGTTGCGGGCACATCCCCGGTGGGGAGTGTGCAGGAGGCAGCTGGTCGATGTTTCTCTCTCATCGACGTTACTAGCTCTCTATCTCTTTCCTTTCCTCTCTAAAAAAACCAATAAAATATATTTTTTTAAAAATCAATGAAAAAAATATCCTCAGGTGAGGATTAACAACAACAAAGAGGCCTCATTGGATGACTCTTGGCCCATTGGGTGAAAATGAATGTTTATTGGCAAGGGCCTTTACCATCTGGTCATCTGCCTTGAAGAAGAATAAAGTGTGTCTAGAGAGAGAATTTAGGGCTTAAAGGTTATCTTGCTCAGAAAGCCAAGGTCTTACCTGGGCCAGGTAGCAACCATTGGCTGAACGAAGCTGCAGAATGGGTCTGTCATTGATACTTTCAAGCTGGAACAACGACATTGGGGTTAAGTGCTCAGAGGCAGCATATATCTCAACATCTGCAGAGGAAGAATATGTCATAATAAGCCCAAGTCTGGTCTCATCCTCAGTTTCAGCCCCTTCTCTACGCTTTATGACTGGCGTTCCCTCCTTGTTTTTCTTCACCTTCTATTGGACCCTAGAATAAGTCCCAGGACCCTTTCTCCTAAAGCCCACACCCTGCTTTATTGCCCTTCTCCATGGCACAGAGATCTTGGGACCCCTAGATATTCCTTGAGAGTAAGTTCAAAACTCCTCATTGATCCCAAACACATTTTTCTCTTTTCAGTAGCTAGCCCTCCCTTCCCCATTGGCTGCATCGGACCCAGCACTTGCCATAGACGACAGAGAGGAACTTTCTAGTCTTTGCCCTGAGGCTGACCCAGGTGGGGCAACGCTGCAGGATGAACCACTCCTCGCCCCTACGGGGATTGGAGCCCAGGCCCAGGAGCAGGCGTGAGCCCTGTGCATACAACATGCCCCCTTCTCCGTCACTCAGTGCCACGTGTCCTCCAGGCCGCACTTGCATGTGAAAAGCAGTCTGTGGTGAGGGTTTGGAGACCAGCCGGTCTAAGTGGGACAAGAAACAGTGTGTAGATGTCTCCAGGTGGTAGCATCCATCTTGGAAATGTAACAGGAACCCACATTCCGCCAGGCAGGGAACTGGTGCGTCCACCCAGACACGACCCACAGTGGGGTCGGCCCTGGCATAGCAGTGGTTGAAGGGGCTGTAGAGGATCACGTGGACATGCAGGGCTGGCCGGGGCGTCCACATGTGGTAAGCTGAGAGGACCCGGGAGTTGCAGAACACATCTTGGCCATCGGACTCCAGGTAACGACCACTGATGATGCACTGGAGGGTCCACTTGCCATTGCGGTGGAAACGGAGTAGGAAGCATCCATGGTGGCTCGTCCTTGGCCGGTCATAGCACAGGGAGCCATCGGCCTCACACAGAAGGTAGAGGCCCTGCAAGCTCCTTAGCCGGACCACAGCCTGCGTGTCATGCTCATTGCTGACCAGAATCTCCCAGGTCTGGAGGCATTGGAAGGGAGGAGAGGGAAATCAGTACTGCAAGTGATCAGACCAAGGAGTCCTATAACCCTCTCCTCCAGCACCACCCTAGCCAGTGGTCGGCAAACTCATTAATCAACAGAGTCAGATATCAACAGTACAATGATTGAAATTTCTTTTGAGAGCCATTTTTTTTTAATAAGTCTAGTGTCATTAAGTTTGACCTGATCATTTATTTATTTTTTAAAATATATTTTATTGAGTTTTTTACAGAGACGAAGGGAGAGGGATAGAAAGCTAGAAACATCGACGAGAGAGAAACGATCAGCTGCCTCCTGCACATCCTCTACTGGGGATGTGCTCGCAAGCAAGGTACATGCCCTTGACCGGAATAGAACCTGGGACCCTTCAGTCCTCAGGCCGACACTCTATCCACTGAGCCAAACCGGTTTCGGCAAGAGAGAGAGTTAAATTTTTTAAACTTAAACTTCTTCAAATGCCACTTCTTCAAAATAGACTCTCCCAGGCTGTGGTATTTTGTGGAAGAGCCACACTCAAGGGGCCAGAGCCACATGTGGCTTGTGAGCCGCAGTTTGCCTAGGTCAACCAACTTCCCCTTCCACATCAGTCTCCTGGATGTTGGTTTCTTTACTCTCATCCAACAGTAATCAAAAGATCTCAGGACACCTCCAGCACTAGAGCCACGGGGCTTCTCAGGATCCCAAGAGAAGTTCTGGATGCCCACCTTCTCCAACTAATGGAAGGTAAACCTCCCTTTCTTCCTTGACCACTTTCTTCAATACCTAGTTTTAATTTTTTAAATTTTATTTTAAATATGTTTTATTGATTTTTTACAGAGAGGGAGAGAGAGAGATAGAAACATCGATGAGAGATATCGATCAGCTGCCTCTTACACACCTCTTACTGGGGGTGTGCCCACAACCAAGGTATGTGCCCTTGACCGAAATCGAACCTGGGACCCTTGAGTCCACAGGCCGACGCTCTATCCACTGAGCCAAACCGGTTTCGGCAATACCTAGTTTTTATTTATTTATATTTATATTTATTTTATTTTTTTAAATACCTAGTTTTTAAAGAAATGTTTTGGTTTAAGTAGCACACTCAGCCAACTCTTTCATCCTTAAAGGACACCTCCCAGACATGGCAGGAGAAAAGCAAGACCTCTCACAGCCAGGCCTGAGCTCAGGGATGAGTCAGGGAGCACAGACAGTTGAGATGCTTTAGCTGCGAACAACCCTGTTATAAGCCAGAGGATCTCACTACTGCTTTGATCTAAGTACCATCCCAGAGGGCCTACATCTCTCTCTACAATGAGAACCAACTCTCCTAGGGCTTCTAGAGTTACCCCATTTCCACACTACAACCAGAACAAAAACATAGTCTTGCAGTATCCACTGATTTAACTGTTGGATCCCCCAAATTCTGCCTTCCAGCCTGGGCTCTCCACCTCTCCTCTTTGTGATGACACAGGCACTCTGTGCTGGAATGCAGGCTAGGGGACATCCAGAGCTAGACCAAGTAGCAAGGTCAGGGCTGAGTGTCACCTCCTGGAATAGGTGTAGAGACAGGGAGATGGAGCAATAGAGACCGGTGGGCAACAGCCTGGGGTAGAATGGTCTTGAGCTAGCTATGGCAGAGGCCAGGAAAGTAATTAGGCAGAGACCAGGGAAATAAGAGTAAACTCCCCCCACTCCCTTCTCTTCCCCCCCAACGTAAGAGCTTAGTCACTGAGGAAATGGTTCCAGTACGGGTTTACTCTGTTACCTGTCTCCGGCCCAAACCTTTTGTAGTGGTAGTGACCATATTCTTATATGGCTCATAGGTGAGGTAGGATCCTGCCCAGCTGATGAGCCCAACCCTTAGGTCTTCCGGCTTGGGTAGTCTTTGCATCCATTCCACATCCCCCATGGGGCCGGCACCACAGCTGATGACTCCTTCCGGCCCAGCCTTCCCCCCAGTGGTGAGGTTCCACAGGCCATAGGGCCTGGAATCAGGCCCAAAGTACCCACTGGAAGATGTTCCCAGATGGTACTTTCCAGGCAGAGGCTGACCAGGGCTCAGCACCTCTGTGACCCGGGCACATTGTGACTGAGAGCTGCCCCTCAGCCCAGCAGATTGGGGAAAGGGCCCTGGCTCAGCATCAGTCTGTAACCCAGAGGAGGCAGGTCCATCAGTCCGTAACCCAGAGGCGTTAGCCTCTCGGCGCCACTCCAGGATCCGATGTGGGCTGAGTTAAGACTGAGAATCAGAATTTCAGCTTGTGCTAGTGACTACCTGTGATTCCAGGTAAATCGCTCTTCTTCACTTGTTTCTCTTTTTAATCACAGGGGGGGGGGGGGGGGGGGAATCAACACTTTTTCTCCTAGAAAGTGGGTTCTACTGGTCTCCTTTTGGCTTAAGGTGTTTTTGGAGTTCATAATATCCGAGAAAAATCTGTTAACTTTTAAGGCCCTTGGGAGGATGAAGCTAAAGTGTATTGGAAGGTGCCAAAAATGGTTTAGCTCAGTGGATAGAGCATCAGCCTGTGAACTGAAAGGTCCCAGGTTCGATTCCGGTCAAGGGCATGTACCTTGGTTGCGGGCACATCCCCGGTGGGTGGTGTGCAGGAGGCAGCTGATTCATGTTTCTCTCTCATCGATGTTTCTAGCTCTCTATCCCTCTCCTTTCCTCTCTGTAAAAAAATCAATAAAATATATTTTAAAAATAGATAAATAAAATGTATCAGAAGCTACTTTTCAGGGAGGGTGAGGATACCCTAGATAGATAACCAGCAGGGATCAAATGACTCATTTTCATCAGGAGAGGCTGGCTCTGGAGCAGGGGGAGAGTCCCAAGCGTCCATCATAACTCCCAGCCGCACTGCTGCGCAGACAATCCGTACTGCCTCTCATCCCAGCCCAGACCCCAGAGTCTCTGGGATGCAAAGGGAAGTGGGCAGAGTAAATCACGCTCGGAGAATAGCCCACAGCCCTGGTTCCCTATCGGTGGGGGGTGTCTACCCAGGTAGGAAGAATCCCAGAGGTGCATAGTGAAGAACTGTAATCCCCAGGCCCTACCAAAATAAGGCTAATAGATCACGGAATCAGCTGGGTGACATTAAAGATGCATATTCATGGTTTCTCCAGTGTACTGCAGGACTCTTGTTTTTAATGAATGTTTCCTCCCCCTAAAATTTTAATGTGATAGTAATCATTAAGAACCACAGCTGGCTAGGACAGTGGTTGGCAAACTGTGGCTCGCAAGCCCCCGCGGTTTGCCACTCTGTTGACTAATGTGTTTGCCGACCACTGGGCCAGGAGATGGATAGGATATGAGAGTTATGTGGTTCACAGAAGCATGAAGTTAGATCCTATTACCCTCCACAAAGGCCCCTTGGAATTGGGATGAAATAGGATTTCCTCCACTGGAACCCCTACAGTACTTCCAGCCTCAATAAGGAGGGAGCAGCTGAGCTAGATGGAGGCAGCAATGTATGTGTGTGCACTTGGAGGGAGGGGGTTTGGCCCTGCAGCCTTAGCTGCTTTGAGCCTCCCTCGTATTGTCGCATTGCAACCAATAACCCACCCCCCACTACTAGGCTACAGGCAACATCATGTACAAACCACAGCAAATTTATTACTCAATATCCAGTGCCATATCTTAGCACCACCCGGAGCCCTCCCCTCCCCACCTGGCCCAAAGGGTACGCCCCAAATGGAACAAACAAAAGTAAACCCAGGTCCCTGCTCCTCCTCTGGAAGAAATGGTCTCGGCCCTGGAAGCCCCTTCCACAGGTCCCAGCAGGCAGGAGAGTGGACCCCGCTGTGCCCCGAGAGCAAGGCTCCAGGCTCCAACAACAGAGAGAACATGCAGGCGTGAGGGGCAGGAGCAGAGGCCTGTGTCTGGGAGGAGGAGCAGGAGGGCAGGGCACTGCCTGAGGAGTCCGGGAGTCTGGTCCTCCCAGGATGCACGCGGGGGCTTCCGGGCAGCAGGGGCTGGCCCCTGGTTGGTTAACGCTTTGACAGCTCGTGGGACAGCCAGTCCAGCCCGTCGTAGAGGCCTGTACCTTGGGTGGCACAGGTGGCCTGGACATACCACTGCGGGGAGAAGGGAAGAAAGAGGTTAGTATCAGGGAAGCAAGAGGGGGATGCCTTCACTTCCTGCCCAGCCTGCGGCTCCCTCGGGAGAGGCAGGACCCTCACCGTGCGACTGCGCAAGTGCTGCAGGCCCAGCTTGTCGGTCAGCTCGCTCACGGGCATGGCGTTGGGCATATCCTGCTTGTTGGCAAAGACCAGCAGCACCGCATCCCGCAGCTCGTCCTCCTGCAGCTGAGAGGGACACAAAACCAGAGGGCAACGATCAAGGCCCAGGGGGTGGAATCTGGGGGTCCTTCGGGGTCCCCAGGCTCCCTCTTTCCTGCTCCCTCTCCTTTCCTGCTTCTAGCATATTTGTGGGAAAAACAGACTACTGTGTAGTTTACTGCTGAACACAAGACAGAGTTATAATTCACTGGCCTTAAGACTAGAAAGAGCCTTTTCTAATTTGAGTAACTGCCCTAATCAAAATGACAAAATTTCGAAATGGAAAAGCAAGGACGTAAGATGATACTTCTCTCCATCACAGGGTCCCCTCTTCCCACTTCTCAGGCTCAGATGTGAAGACCTGTGAAAATCCATGCCTTCTACTTGTTACCTGACCCAAATTATTCAAAACAGGGTGAGAGTCTCCTTGTGTCTGTGTCCACAAAGAGAAACACACATTCACAGCCCGGGAGGAGGCATTTCCTGACTTCACACCACGACAGAGATCTGTCTCCACGCCGGGGCTCTGTCCCAGGGCCCTGGCGCTCACCATCTTCTGAAGTTCATCAGCCGACTCCTGGACCCGCTCCCGGTCATTACTGTCCACCACAAAGATGAGACCCTGGGCAGAAAGGAAGGTGAAGCAATCACTCCCGTCCAGAACATACTTTTAGTCTGGCTCTTTCTCTAATTGTCTCTAAAAACTTCCACTAAGGCTCTGCAGATGTCTTGGCACCAAGAGGAGACACCCTGTAACGGATACAGCTTCTGCCCTCCGGCAAGCAATCTAGCTAAAAGACATAGGTGGGAGCAGGGAGAGAGGTGAGGAGAGCTAAACCAGGCAGCCTGGACCCTGGACCCCAACCCTGCTTCTCAGAACACCCCTAAGGTGGCTGAGCCTCAGAAGACTAAGGCCAATTCTGAAGGATGATGAGAAGCTACCTTAGCTTACAAAAGGGGTTGGGAGGTGAGTGAAGGAAGCAGGGCTTTAACCTGGCCTGGGGGCCCAGACTAGGCCCACATCTCGGGTCTTCCTAACCCTAACACCACCTGGGGGGCGGGGGGCGGTTGGGGAGACATCCCTGCCCCCACCTGAGTGTTCTGAAAGTAGTGCCTCCATAGAGGCCGAATCTTGTCCTGGCCTCCCACGTCCCAGACTGTGAAGCAGATGTTCTTGTATTCCACTGTTTCCACATTGAAGCCTGCAGATAATTGGGGGGGAAAACAAAACATGAGAAAAAAGTCCCAAAAGGAAGGAACTCACTAAAACTAGGTGAATTCAGCAGGGACACAAAACCAGAGGGCAACGATCAAGGCCCCAGGGATCAGAAGCCCAGAGTCCAGCAGTCCACGAAGGGGGCGGGGTTAGGGCGCATCCAGCCCTCCTGGGCACCATCCAACGCGTACAGATACCGTGACCCACTTCTCAGGTAGCTGTATCTGGTGTCAGCTCCCAGGACTGGGGTGCAGAGCGGGGCGGTAGACCCTGCGGAGGCCAGCCGCGCTCCCGCTCCTCCAATCTTGCCTCCAGGACTCACCGATGGTGGGAATGGTGGTGACAATCTCCCCCAACTTCAGTTTGTACAGGATTGTGGTCTTGCCGGCTGCATCCAAGCCGACTGCAAAGGAGAGGGGCATGGCGATAGTTAGAGGAGCGAGGGAGCCCCCTAGAGACCAGGGAAGGGGAAAGGCCAGGACAGCTGATGATGGTGAAGGGGCGAGGGGCCGAGAGCGTTCAGGTGAGCGCTGTTGTCTACCTTCCGGGCCTTGAGCGCAGTCTGGGTTGGTGAGCGCCAACTCCTGAACCCAAAGCCGGAGGGGAGGGCCGAGGGAGGGCTGGGGGGTGTAAGGTCATAGGGGGAGAGTCCCGCTCCTTGTAAAAGTCGTCTCCAAGGGCGGAATCCTCCCTTCTCACTAGCCGGGCTGGGGCGGAGGGAGCTTCACCCCACCCAGGCCCGCAGCTCCCGGTCTCAGGGCCCAGGGTCGGCGCTGCAGACCGCGACCAGCCCGAGAGCAGCGGCCTGGGGGGGGGGGGGGGTGCTAGGGAGTGGGTGACTCGGGGTCCGTGGTCGGGTGAGCCGGGCTGGGGGGCCCAGGGCGGAGGGAGGGCTGCGCCGGGGGCCAGCGCTCCGGTCCGGGCCGCGCGCTTGATCTGCCTCACCCATGAGGATCCGCATCTGCTTCTTCCCGAAGATCCGAGAAAAGAGCGCGGACACGGTGAGGCCCATGGCGGGGCCCGGGGGAGGGGGCACGGGCACGGACACGGGGGTGCAGGCTGGAACCGGCCGGTCGCGGGGGGATGGGGCTCGGCAGCAGCAGCAGGAGGAGGAGGTGCCGCCACCGCCTCCGCGCGTCCCGGCCCGCCCTACGTCACTGCGGCCCCGCCCCCGCCCCCGCCGGCCGGCCCGGGCCCCGCCCACAGCCCCGCCCCCGCCGGCCGGGCCCGCCCACAGCCCCGCCCCGCGGCTCCGGCTCCTGGAGAAACTGAAGCTGACAGTGTCCGCTCCAGGCTGCGTCCCGCGCCAGCTTCAAGGAGGAAAGGGTCAGGTTTCCCCACCTGATTCCAGCGCGCCGGTCACATCTGCGGCTGCTGGACCGGCATCCGAACGGGGCCGAGGAAAGCCGTCACCCCTGCACGGTGGCCCCCTTCCCGGTCATCCCGGGCGGGCGGCCGCAGGGCTTTTGTTTGCAGCCTTCAGCTCACTCTGGGCTCCGGCTTAGCTCCTACGTAGTAACCAGCAGCATCGACTGTGTGTACCACCCTCTCAGGGATGCGGAAGCTCCGTGCTGAGACCTTAGTCCTCCCTTCTGCCCCCTCCGCTCCGGGAACGAGAGCAGGATTGACTTGCAATCCTAAAGGCTTTTACAAGGCCAAAGAGAACATTTAAAAGAGTCCCAGCATGATAACACACTCGTGGTGAACAATCAGATCAGTTCTACATCTTTAGCTCTGTCATTAACCTCTTTCTCCTCCCTGTTGTCACTGCCCTATTCCACTACTATCTCTTCTCATGATTGAATTAGCCTCTTCACAGGTCAACTGCCCCTTGATACTATCATCCAGTCATACAAGTCTTGATGATGCCACTCTTGCAATTAAAAATGAGTGTATTATCACCCAGGACAAAAACCTACATGCCTTAATTTGGGTCCATACGCCAGCCCCATCTTCTGCCACCTTCTTCACATACCCTAAACTACTGCCTTGAGAGGACTCTCAATGCTTTCCAGGTGAGCCAGGCTCCCTGAAGCCTTAGGAGTCCTTGCAATCTTTTTCCTCTGCCTCCCCCAGAGAGCCCTCCCTCCTAATTTCCATGTCACGTTAAATATACTCGTACACACTGGTATGATGGCTGGACTTGTATTTGCAGGCCTGGTCCCTCACTAGATGCCAGCTCCTGGAAGGCAGGACCTTGTCTCTCCATGGTGATTACCTGGCATGGCATTTGATATGTTGAGAGTGGGACTGATCTGCATAGGATTCCTAAACTTCCTGTGCGTCCTTGGCATGCTACTTACCATCTCTGTGCATCTTGTTCCCTTATCTGTAAAACAGTGCTAATGATACCCCCCTGAGCAGAATTATTTGTAAGACTACACAGCAAAACTCTAGTGAAGCTTCTGGAATAGAGTTGTCACTTGGGAAAGACGTTTTGGCTATCGGATGCCCTCTACAAACACTTATTTTAAAAAATATATATATTTTATTGATTTTTTACAGAGAGAAATAGAAAGTTAGAAACATCGATGAGAGAGTAACATCGATCAACTGCCTCCTGCACACCCCCTACTGGGGATGTGCCCGCAACCCAGGTACATGCCCTTGACCGGAATTGAACCGGGATCCTTCAGTCCGCAGGCCGATGCTCTATCCATTGAGCCAAACCGGTTTCGGCTACAAACACTTGTTGAATCAACTCAGCAGATTCAGAAGGGGTGCTCATAATTATTATGGTATATGCCTACTAGGTGCCAAAGGCTGGCCTAGGAAGGGTTGCTGTTTTTGTGGTCTAAATGGGAGTCTTCATTGCTGCTCTTTAGGTGCAAAAGTACTGATCCCTGAAACAATGGGGGCTCCGCTCACCCCAATATTTGGTAAGGACAGTGCGACGTCGCCTTGTCCCCTGCTGATCGCAGCCTGAGGGCAAGCTCAGGCGAACGCCCTGAAACCAGCAGCACTGCGCGTCCTCCACTTGCGCGAGCTGAGCTCTCCGCGGCAGCGGTCCCCCAGCAGCCCCGCTAGGTTCTCGGCGGGCGGCCGCCCTCTGGGGCTGAAGTAGCCCCGCCCACTCCGTGCCCGCCGGGGGCGGAGCACCTGGCGTCCTGTTGTCGTCACTTCCGGCGGACCCGGAAGCTCCCCGACGAGCCTCTGCAGTTAGGAAGTCGTGATGGGGCTGCTGTGCTCGGCTCAGACCCTCGCGGACCGTGGGCGCAGGCCCGTTCGGGGCTGTTGACGCCCCGGCGAGCGAGGAGCCGGAGCGGCTGCTGGGACGGGGCGGGGGGAGGCCTGGAAGCGCGCTCCTCTGGTGCTGGCGCCGCCCCGCCTCTAGGATCCGACCCGCCCCCGGCCTGGGCGTAGGGACCTGGGTGCGCTCTGCCCGGCTGCTCCGCCGCCCCGCCGCCCGGCTTCGGTGGTCTCGGAAACTGGGAGGAGCGGATATGCGGCCTCGGAGACCACAACATCTGCCAGCGTCATCGTGACCCTCTCTACCCAGGTTGTCCAAACGCTGACGTGGAACGACCAGTTCTGAATCCTCATGGAGAAGTTCGGGATGAATTTCGGGGCTGGCCCGAGCAAGAGGGACCTGCTGGAGACCATTGAGAGCCAGAAGAAGCAGCTCCTCCAGTATCAGGCACGGCTCAAGGATGTGGTCCGCGCCTATAAGAGCCTCCTGAAAGAGAAAGAGGCTCTGGAGGCCAGCATCAAGGTGCTATCCGTATCCCACGAGGCGGATGTGGGCCTCGCAGGTGCCCAGCCTCCAGACCACACCTCTCCCGACTGCGTGGATGACCGGTGCTCCACTCACAGCGAGGACAGCACTGGGACCGCCACCAGCTTGGACACCACGGCCAGTCTCACTAGCACCAAGGGTGAGCTTGGGGCAGAAGATGACAGGCTGGCCCGTGGGCCACCACCTCTCAAGTCCGAAGAGGCTAGTGGGTCCGAGAGTGGTGTTAGCACTAGCAGCGGGGACGGACAGCCGGCGGGCGGGGAGGTGGACAAACGATTGCACCAGTTGAAGACTCAGTTGGCCACTCTGACGAGCTCTTTGGCCACAGTCACCCAGGAAAAGTCCCGCATGGAAGCTTCTTATCTGGCTGACAAGAAGAAGATGAAACAGGACTTGGAGGATGCCAGTAAAAAGGCAGAGGAGGAGCGGGAGCACCTGGAGGGAGAATTGAAGGAGCTGCAGGAGCAGATAGCAGAAACCAAAGCCAGACTCATCACACAGCAGCACGATCGGGCCCAGGAGCAGAGCGACCATGCCGTGATGCTGCGTGAGCTCCAGAAACTGCTGCAGGAAGAGAGGACCCAGCGCCAAGACTTGGAGCTCCGGTTGGAAGAGACCCGAGAAGCCCTGGCCGGGCGGGCACACGCCGCTGGTCAGATGGAAGGGTTTGAACTGCAGGCTAAGCAGCTGACCCGCGAGGTGGAGGACCTCAAAGCTGAGCTGCAGGCGCTTCGAGCTGAGAAGAGTCGGCCAGACCCCCGGCTGCAGGAGCTTCAGGAAGAGGCCGCCTGCCTCAAGAGCCATTTCCAGGCCCAGTTGCAGCAGGAAATGAGGAAGGTAATTATCTTCATCTCCTTCAATCATTTAGCCTGAAGTGGGAAATATTAAGGCCTTCTTCCTCCTTTGATAGTGGCTGTGCTGTCAGGTTTTTTGTTTTTTTAATATATATATTATTGATTTTTTGTAGTGAGTTAGAAACATCCATGAGAGAGAATCATCGATCACCTGCCTCCTGCACATCCCCCTCTGGGTACATGCAACCAAGGTACATGCTTTTGGAATCGAACCTGGGACCTTTCAGTCCGCAGGCTGATGCTCTATCCACTGAGCCAAACCGGTTTTTGATGCTACTCAGAAAGTTTTATTTGGGAGTACTGGGAATTCCTGTCCTGTGTGGTGCTGACAGCATCCACAGAGTGTGCTTCCAACAGGATGTGGAGCTTCTGAGTGTCAGCTGGGTTGGAGCCAGATAGCTCTGAGTTTCTGGGCATTGGCATCTTACCAGCTGTGCTCTGTGAAGCATATCGTAGCAGCTGAGCAGTGAAAGGCAGTATGTTTGCCTGTAGGTATATGCTATTTGTAGGTAGCAGGATATGCCTACAGGGAGAATGGCCGAAGGGGGCAATGGGAATTTTCTTTGAAAAAATAACCTCTTGTAATTGCTTTTAGTCAAGATTTGCTTCTAAAGGTATGCTCTTTTATAGTGCCTCTGTTCAGTGTGGAGAGAGATCCAACTCAGTTTTGAACCTCCCAAGAATATTGGAGAGGAAAAGAATGTCACCTGATTTCTTAATAGGATTTGAGAAAGTACATGATACACAAGGATAACATATTTAATATGAGTTGAAGGTGTAATGGAAGAAAGTGAAAGCACTAAGGATAAGAAAAAGGGCTGATATACAAAGGTTCTTAATATTTGGTATAACTTGTGGCTGAGAGCAGAACCCTAGCAGGTTACAGGAACTTTTTTTTTTTTTTTTAAATATATTTTTTATTGATTTTTTTACAGAGAGGAAGGGAGAGAGAGAGAGTTAGAAACATCGATGAGAGAGAAACATAGATCAGCTGCCTCTTGCACACCCCCTACTGGGAATGTGCCCGCAACCAACGTACGTGCCCCTGACCGGAATCGAACTTGGGACCTTTCAGTCTGCAGGCTGACACTCTATCCACTGAGCCAAACCGGTTTTGGCAGGTTTCAGGAACTTTTGTGAGCTCCCAAATCAACAGAAAAACCCCCAGTTCCCATTCCTGTCAGATCACTCCCCGGCCTTTTGCTCTCCTATCTTGCTTTCTCAAAGCTGGCCATAGAGCTTCGTGGCCTTTCTGGATGGATTTCTAACTGTTCCTTTGTTTTACAGACAGCCCTTGCAGAGGATCAACTCCGCCAGCAATCTCAGCTGGAAGAGAAGAGGGTGGCAGCCCTGGAGAACCAAATATCCGAGGTGTCGGAGCTGCTGGGCACCTATGAGAAAGCCAAGCAGAAGGACCAGCTGGCCATCCAGAAGCTGAAGGAGCGCATTCTGCAGCTGGACCTGGAGAACAAGACGCTGGCTCTCGCAGTCTCGAGCCGGTCCCCTCTAGACAGCCACGCAGAAGAGTCCAGTCTGGATGTCAATGTCCTGAAGGACAAGATGGAGAAGCTGAAGAGGCTGCTGCAGGTGGCAGCCAGGAAAAGCCAGGTGACCTTGGATGTGGAGAAGCTCTGCCACCTGGAGATAATGCCCAGCTCCGAGGCTGCGGACGGGGAGAAGGCTACTGCGCTCTACTACCAGCAGGAGCTGAAACAGCTGAAGGAGGAGTTTGAGAGGTACAAGATGAGGGCCCAGGTCGTCCTCAAGAGCAAGAACACCAAAGACGGCAACCTGGCCAAGGAACTGGAGGAATCCCAGGAGCAGCTCGCGGAGCTGAAGGAGAAGTACATCTCCCTGCGGCTGTCCTGCGAGGAGCTCGAGCGCCAGCACCAGCAGGAGGCCGAGGACTGGAAGCAGGAGCTGGCCCGGCTGCAGCATCAGCACCGGCAGGAGCTGGAGCGGAGCCAGCTGGACTTCAGGGACCGCACGCTGAAGCTGGAGGAGGAGCTGCACAAGCAGCGGGACCGGGCCCTGGCGGTGCTGGCCGAGAAGGACCTGGAGCTGGAGCAGCTGAGGGCGGTGGCGTTGTCTTCTGTGCTGCCGGGGCGCAGAAGCCCCGTGGGTGGCGGGGACCCCGGGGACCCCGCTGACGTAGCTTCCCCTGATAACCTGACCCAAGCACTTCAGCTTGCTGCGGCCAACGAGCCCACGTTCTTCCTGTACGCCGAGCAGTCGGCCCGCAAGGAGGTGGAGATCACATGCCTGAGGAAGCAGAAGCACAGGCTGGAGGCGAAGGTGCACCAGCTGCAGGAGCGGCTGCTGGAGGAGGGGGAGCGGCACCGAGAGGAGGTTGGGGTTCTCCAGAGCCACATTGAGAAGAACACCAGGGACCAGAGTCGGGAGGGAGCCAATCTGGAGTACCTCAAAAACATCATTTACCGCTTCCTGACCTTGCCGGACAGCCTGGGCCGCCAGCAGACGCTCACGGCCATCCTGACCATCTTGCATTTCAGTCCAGAGGAGAAACAAGTGATAATGCACCTCCCACCCAGTGGTAGCTGGTGGCCTTCTGGCAAGAGATGATGTCATCTCCACGAACGCCTGAAATTTCCGTGCCTCGTACGTGGGCAGAGAGGGACTCTGGTTTCTACTGCCGCTTCTCTTACCTTATCGTTTTCTTCAGTGTTGAACTGAAGGAGTCTTCAAAGTGGGGTGGGATATTCTGCCAAATGCCATTAATGCTGCTTTATCCACAGGCCCTAGAGATCCTGGAAGTTTTGGGACAACATTTGTTGGTGGTGGTGTGTGTGAGGAGGAGAGGTTAATATTGAGAGGTGCAAAAGTTGGGGATGTGGTAGGAAAATATTTGAAAATAAGATTTTTTGTTTTAACCTTGTGCTCCTGGCACAGAGCTAGGAGTAAATGTGTCTCCAAAGGGAGTTCAGGCAGTTTCTAAACACACACAGGACCAGCTGTTTTCTCTATCATCACCTGAATCTGGCCCACCGCTGCCCCAATTATCTAGGGATATAAATCCAGGCTGGAGAGGCGCCGTGAAGTTTGAAATAGTGACAGGTTGTCCACTAGTCCAGAGGGCCACGGAATAGTGAGTTCATCCTTGAACTGGGAAGCTTGGTCTAGTTAGGATTGGGTACAACCTAATCAGGCTGCACAAAACACACCTTTGACCACCCTAGAGAAAATCCTGAGCACCAGTTTGATCTTAGGGATTTCCTGAGTGACCTGCTTGTGGCCTGGATAGGATTATAATAGACCTTTCACACTTGTCCCTCCCTTCACCAGCCTGCCTATGGTTGACCCGCGATTTGTAAGTAAATGACTGCTATCTTTTCTTCAATGTTGAACTTGCATTAAGAAAAAATCTGCCCAGCCAATCTGGCTCAGTGGTTGAGCTTCAAGCCAGGAGGTCTCGGTTCAATTCCTGGCCAGGGCACTTGATTGGATTTTGGGCTCAATCTCCAGTAGGGAGTTATGTAGGAGGCAGCAGAACAATGATTCTTTCTCATCTTTGTTCCTATCCCTCTTTCCCTCTCTTTTCTCTCTCTGAAATCGATTTTAAAAAAAAAGAAAAAAGAAAAAGAAAAAATAATCATAGCTTCTTGCAGAGAGGGGTCTTATTGGGAAGCTCTGATCCTGCCTGGCTGTAAGAACTTAGCTCAGAGGTTTATAGGGAAGAGGAAGATTGCTGGGACCTTCACAGCAAAGTCGTGGAAGTTCAGCCAAGGCCAGACCAGGGTACTTGCTGCTCTTTGGGTAGCATTCTGGGTAAGGTGTTCATGGTTACTGTCACCAGGGTATTTTGCCCACTCACTTAGGGAGGTAATAGAGTTTCAGTCCACAGTTCTCATCTTCCCACATGAATTGCTATACCTTTCCTTTTCCTGTGGGGTTTCTTACATTTGGAGTTGCATAAGTAGATTCATTCTGCACTTAAGAAGAGATGACTTATTTTTCAGGCAGTCTGGAAAGGAGGGGCTCAGAAGAGTGGGGTTCAGTGTCAGTCCCCCTATTTGTTTTTTGCCCCCCAACTGCTTTTGCTGGTTATAGAGATCTTTGGACCCTAAAGACCAATGCTTTGCCACTCACTACTAATCTGTACCTTTGTTATTTCATCATAGAGCTGTTTTACGAGGTTTTGATGTGTAGAATAATTTGATTAAAATGTTCTCACTGGGAGGCTGGGTGACCTGGACTATCTACAAACTACAAACAGTGCATGGACTTAATGGGACAGAAGTGATCTGTCCAAATGTTAATAACAAACCATGGAGTCATTAAACCTGAACAACTTGACTTATGTGCTTCCATAATGGTATGTATTTATCGGGACACAAATAGAGTGCGAATGAAAATGGTAAATGAAAGGGATGGAAATATTTCATTATATTGCTCCATGAGCTTGAATCTAGGATGGATACCTTTGCTTTAACTGCCTCCATCACAACACTAATACTGTTTAGCCTGGAATTGTGTGTATATGTTTGTGTGTAGGCAGCTATTACAGGAAAAAGATGTTCTCATGGGTTTAGTGAGTGGGCTTGGAACTTTCATAGTTACTGCTTTAAACTTTAGAAGTAACCTGTGAATGCTTTATTATACTTCAAATCAGAGTTTATGGTTTCCTGGAAAAGTTTCTCAGAATATCAAGCTAAAGAAAATCATCATCTCAATTTTATTACCTAATCTCCTTGCATGTAGGATATACTGTATTATTATTGTTATTTCTAGGTAGTTTTCAACAGAATGTAAAGATCCATAATCATTGTTTCTTTCCTGGGACTAAAAATCCCTGTGCTTTTGACTTTTGAGATGATACCAAACAGGCAAAGAAGCAAGTAAATTTCTGATGAGTAATTTTAAGTATCCATATACATAAGGCTGTGAATGCTCCCAAATGAAATGAAAAGTCTCGATCTCTTCCTGCCCTAAGGACACACACGTTCCTCCTCTCCCGACTCATCTCCCCCAAATGAGCTTTTCAGTTATTGGACTGTTCTGCCTGTGCTAGATACTCTTAGAAAAGAAAGGGTGAGGAAGAGAAAGAATTGAGATCAGACTCAGAGGAAAATAAACTGCCCTTGGGCTCTGGTCCCAGAATGTCAATAAGGTAAGGAGGCTGACCCTCACTGTTTAACCATTACCACAGAAATCAGAAAAATCACAATGAGAAGAGATGGGTGGAGAAAGCGGCAGGAAGGCAAATTGACAACTGTAAGGGCTTTCTGCTTTTTCCCTTTCCTCTCCCCTGTTGGGGACCTCTGATCTGGGGAATAAATGTTCATGTGTCATGCCCTTTATGAGGCAAGGTGATCTGAATTGCCTAAGGTGCAGAGTCAGGCCCATCTGTTACCCAGAACCCTAAGGCTCTTGACCTTGTCCCGAGAACCTGCCACTACAGGGTTGTTTCACTAACACTTGTGGAATGTGACAGCACCATGTTGAGCTGTAATTTACACCCATGTATCATTCACTCCTCACAGATGTCACGAACCCCCATTTTATAGATGAGGAAGCAGAGACTGATGTTAAATTTGCCCATGATCATGTGACTAATAATAGATGTCCAAACCAAGTCTGATTAACCCGAAGCCTGTTTAATCTGGGTGCGCTCTTATCTCCTTGTGGGTCAGGGCTGTCTCCATATATGATTTGTAGGGATGGAGATACTGATATCCAAGCTGAACTTGCTCATTCAAATGGAGAGTAGGTCTCCAGCTATAAATTGCAATCTAGCAAAGCTGCGACACTACAGAGTTGAACAGGCAACACTGATTCTTCATAAGAACCCTAGAGCCAATCTGTCCCCTAAGTTCCAAATGGCTGCTAATTTTATTGCCTTTTTTTTTTTTTTTTTTTTTAGAGGAGAGAGAGAGAAACACTGATTTGTGGCTCCTCCCTCCATGCATTCATTGGTTGATTCTTCTTTGTGCCCTGACCTGGGATTGAAACCACAACCTTGCTATATCGGGCTGATGCTCTAACCAACTGAGCTAATTGGCCAGAGCTACATGACTGCTAATTTTAAAACTTTTATCATTCTAACTAAAGGAGGGCTGGATAACAGCTATCATTATCGTGTGTTTCAAGTATAACCTCTAATAAAGCTGGGGATACAATGAAGTTGGGAGCTGGAAATAGAACCCTAGTGAATGGGTCGCTTTACCCAATCTTCAATCACTTTTACCCCCTCCTCTGCTTCCCCCAAGCAGCCTGGTTATTGATGATTTTTGGAAGCAAGAAAATGGATTCAGACTTTCTGGGTTGAAATCTCAGTCCAATCTCCTGCCAGCTGTATTGCCTTGATAAATTAATCTCTCTGAACTCCCATTTTCTTGTAATGAAAAATACTAATACCTATCATCTTCAGAATAAAGAGAAACAGTATAAAGAACCAGCACAGCACCTGAAGTAAAGTAGGTGGTAAACCGTGTTTCTTTTCCCCCAAGAATGTTAAGTGGCAGAATTGGAAGTTAGGCTGAACTCTTCTGTGTTCCTTAGCCACAAATGCTGCTGTAAACAAAAGGAAAAAGAATAAATGTCTTTATCAGGTGCCTGCTATGCTTGCCTTTCCTCACAAAATTTACTAATTCTCACAGCAGTGTTGTGAAGCACAGCTGTTTTGCAGGTGAGGAAACGGAGGCACAGAGAGATGAACTGCCCAAGGTCCAGAGCCAGTAATGGCAGGACCAGAATTCAAACACGTTTATCCCAACCATGGCCCATGCACTTTCCACTGTCTGTACTGTCTTCCAGCAGAGGGCAACGTAGAATACTGACATGTGGCTCAGAAATGGAGGGGCTGTGCTCTGGCCTGGCTAGAGGAGAAAGGGTCCTTGCCCAGGTGGTTCTCTCTCCAGGGGCAGCCGACTGCCTTGTGATCTCCCAGAGGCCTCGTTCTTCCCTAGCAGCGGAGCTCTTTCACTCTGAAAGTTATGAAATGAACTCTGTTACAAGTCAGCGTTATGTGAGTGTGACTAGTGCCCGTTTTCTCTGGGACCCAGATCTCCTGGAAAGCCTAAAAATCAACGATTCTGACAAGCCTGCAATCCTGGGAGCCCAGAAAAGTGAAGGCCACTTGGAGGCCAATGGCCCCCGTAAGGCCAATGACCCTGTGCCTTGCCTTGAGCAAGGAGACGATCTCTGACTTAGTGTAAATTTGGCCATCCCTCTGGGCTACCACTGAGGAACTAAATATTTTCATATCTGAAAGAATGAATTTGAACACGGATACAATTTTATGTGAATATGAGTTATTTTTTAATCTATTGATTTTTTAAAAATATATAAAGAGAAACCTTGACTTGTTGTTCCACTTATTTATGCACTCATTGGTTGATTCTTCTATATGCTCTGACTGGGGATAGAACCTGAAACCTTGGCGTATTGGGACAATGCTTTAACCAACTGAGGTACCTGGCCAGGGCCTGAATTTTTACATAGATTGCACATTAACTTTTTATAAGCTGAGACTGTTCTGTCCACACAGTCAAAATATTTGGGGGTTAATATTTAGAGTGGGGTTCGTTGCCTTTCTCTTCGTTCGACAGCTATCAGGCCTCCTG